GAAATCAATAATAAATCAATAAAAATAAATCAATAAAAATAAAATAAATAAAAAGAATGGTGTGTGACATCGGGCTGAAAGGTGTTAGAGCAGTGGTTCACCTGGTGACTTCTTCGGGGCACTCAGCTTTCTTTCCCAACCTTCCCTGACCTGTGGGTCACCAACCTGTGGGTCACAAACCTGTGGGTCGCAACCTCTTCTAACACCTGAAAGGTGTTAGAGCAGTGGTTCACCTGGTTCACACGGCACCAGAGGCTCCCCCGGGCACCAAGTTGATTCTAGTGCTTACCAATTTAAAAAGTGGCAGCTGCATAGGAAAAGGTTCCAAGCCTATCTGCTCACTACATCCCAGTGGGGGAAGTGCAGGAGGCACTTGATCAATGATTCTCTCTCATCATTGGTGTTTTCCTCTCCATTCCTCTCTAAAATCAATTTTAAAAAAGAATGGTGTGCCCTAGCCGGTTTGGTTCAGTGGATAGAGCGTCAGCCTGGGAACTGAAAGGTCCCAGGTTCGATTCCGGTCAAGGGCACATGCCCGGGTTGTGGGCTTGATCCCCAGTGGGGGACTTGCAGGAGGCAGCCGATCCATGATTCTCTCTCATCATGGATGTTTCTATCTCTCTCTCCCTCTTCCTTCCTCTCTGAAATCAATAAAATAAATCAATAAAAATAAATCAATAAAAATAAAATAAATAAAAAGAATGGTGTGTGACATCGGGCTGAAAGGTGTTAGAGCAGTGGTTCACCTGGTGACTTCTTCGGGGCACTCAGCTTTCTTTCCCAACCTTCCCTGACCTGTGGGTCACCAACCTGTGGGTCACAAACCTGTGGGTCGCAACCTCTTCTAACACCTGAAAGGTGTTAGAGCAGTGGTTCACCTGGTTCACACGGCACCAGAGGCTCCCCCGGGCACCAAGTTGATTCCAGTGCTTACCAATTTAAAAAGTGGCAGCTGCATAGGAAAAGGTTCCAAGCCTATCTGCTCACTAAGAACACAGGGCTTTCTACCGGATGAAAGTTCGGTGAATCAATAAAGTCATGGTGTGTAACCTTCACCCAACAGTGATGGGTTATAGTCCTGCTGGTCAGCCTCAAGGTTAGGTCTTCCCACCCTTCCTCGCAGAAAGTGCACATGCTAATACAACTTCCAGCAGAATTTGGGCTTGTGGGGTGCGGGTCACTCAGCTTTCCCAACCTTCCCTGACCTGTGGGTCACCAACCTGTGGGTCGCGACCCCTTTGGGGGTCGAACGACCCTTTCACAGGGGTCGCCTAAGACCACTGGAAAACACATATATAATTACATATTGTTTTTGTGATTAATCACTATGCTTTAATTATGTTCAATTTGTTTTTTTGTTTTTTTTTAAATATATTTTATATTATTACATTTGTTCCTCTTTTTTCTCCCCATAACTCCCCTCCTCCCAGTAATTATGTTCAATTTGTAACAATGAAAATGCATCCTGCATATCAGATATTTACATTACGATTCATAACAGTAGCAAAGTTACAGTTATGAAGTAGCAATGAAAATAATTTTATGGTTGGCGGTCACCACAACATGAGGAACTGTATTAAAGGGTCGCAGCATTAGGAAGGTTGAGAACCACTGTGTTAGAGAGAAGATGCTGTGGCCACAGGCCGTGGTCACTGAGGTTCCCTGCGTCCTTCACTCCTGGGAGGCCCGTGCACATGCGTCTCCTCACAGCTTTTAGGCAGCAGACCCACTGTCCTCACAGAAGGTGTTGCATCCCAGATGACATTAGCTGTGCAGGAGTGTGCGGTGTGGGCAGGAGAGACCGAGCAGGTGCTGTAGGTGCAGGTAGGTGGCACTGGACTGACAGTAGCACAGGACACGGAGAATGCGTTTTGGTGTGAGACCAAGTTCAACTTTGTGCGACATTTGACCTAAAGTGAAGCCCGTCCCAGAGAAACAGTGATGGGTGATAGTCCTGCTGGTCAGTCTCAAGGTTAGGTCTCCCCGCCCTTCCTCGCAGAAAGTGCACATGCTAATACGACTTCCAGCAGAATTTGGGGTTGTCGGGGGCGGGGCACTCAGCTTTCTTTCCCAACCTTCCCTGAGAACTTTCATCCGGTAGAAAGCCCTGTGTTCTTAGTGAGCAGATAGGCTTGGAACCTTTTCCTATGCAGCTGCCACTTTTTAAATTGGTAAGCATTGGAATCAACTTGGTGCCCGGGGGAGCCTCTGGTGCCGTGTGCCGCTGGAAAGTTGCGTGTCTGCCAGGGTCACCCAGGGCAGGTGTCCGCATGCAGGGCTGTGGCTTCGGATTTCAGGAGACAGTGGGGGTTGTGGAACTCTGGACGTCTGTGTATGGACCACATTGCCTCCCTGAGATACGTGTTTGGCTGTGACTGAGGAGTGAAGGGGTCTGAACAAGCCGGACTTTTGTGTTGAGGGAAAAGTCTAATTAATAGTATGGTAACGTAAAGCTGTGTCAGGTATCATTATCGTTAATCACATTAGCTTGACATTTTTTCATTAGGGGAAAAAGGGATTTATGACAAGTTCAAACTGCTGAGCAATTGAAGTGCTATAAAATGTCCCTCCATAACTCCCCCATTTTGAGAAATTGCATGACACGTGGAGTGGTCAAACCCTGGGTCCCACTCCTGTCTGCTCACAGGGGACTTGACCAGCTGCATCTGAACCTTGACGGAGAGCTGACCAGACGACCCCTGCGGGCCCTTTCAGGCCGTCAGTTCTGTGAAGCTGAAACCTGTCTCTTAACAGTTGTTCTTTGTCTACCAAGAAACAGCATTGGACTCTTTTATAAGCCCTGTAGTTCTGAGAGATTCAGGAACTTGACTTCGCGGTTTTATTAACATCCAGAGCATTCCCAGGATGTGGGCTTGTGGTGGGTGGTGAATATTGAATTAGCTCTCCAGACTGAGGACCTGAGCAAACAGAGGTGAAGTTACCTGAAGTCACATGGCAAGTCGTGGGCAGGGGCAGTAATAGCCGTGGGACCCCCAAATCCTGTCACTGCCAAGTAAACACACTGCTAGTCTCCGAGTTCCTACATATTTTGCTTCACTTCATGCTTTATTCTGTGTTTAGATATCGTTAGGAACTACCCACTGGCCCGCTTCTGTGTAATTCTGCCCTGCAGGGAACATAGCTGGAGTCTCAGTAGAGATTGTGGGTGGCTGGAGCCCGCACAGTGTCTAGCAATGATAAAGACCAGGTGTCCCCTTCTTACATGCCGACCTGCACCAGGTGCGGGTTCTCCTGTGGAGCCTTCTAGACAAGCAGCTTCTCCAGGGCAGGCTGGGCTTGCTGCTCCGAGAGGCTAGAATGGGAAATGCACTGGACACGGGGGTTCTGTTCTGCACGATTCAGCGGGTAATACACTCACCGTGACGCCAGGGCCACCGATGGGCTGTGATTTGAACCTCAAGTCCTGCCTGTTTTCATTCCCTACTCAGGTGTAATACCCTTTGTTTGGTGAGGGCTTGACTGGAGAAGTTTTGTAGCCTGGCAGGGACTCAACCCCTCCTGGAAGCCCTCCCTCCCACCGGAGCCCCTGGATGCTGCACCCACAGTGCCCAGCAATGGCCATAAGAAGGGCTTGCCTTGCTTCCATTGTGGGACAACCAGGCCATGCCCTGTCTAGCGGTTATTGCTAGTTGGGGTGGGGCTTGTGTCTGGAAACCAAAAGGAGCTGATTACAGAACATAGTTAATTTCCCTTTTCTCCTCACTGCTCTGCCTTTCCACATAATAGCCTGCTATCAAGGAGACCATGGGGGCAGGCAGGAGCCAGCAGGGCCCAGCCAGGCAGTGAACTGTGACAGTAGCTGGTGGGAGAAATTGCTTGTTAACCCAGAGTTAAAATAGGCACCAACTCCATTTGCAAACACCAAAGGCAGCAGAACCACAGTGGGATAGATGCTACCAGTTTAGACAGAAAGTTTATAACTCAAAACAGCTGTTGGCTTCTCTTCTCTCCTGCCCTTACCCCCACCCCCACTGGAAAGATGCTTATTGTTTCTTAATAAAAAAATGTTGGAAATCTAAACTCATATAAATGCTGAGGCCGTTGTCCTCCACTCCCCTGTGTTTCAAATTAACGAAGTGTCAGTGTAGAATGACAGGAAGACATGAGGCTGCTTGTAGTTATTCTAGCTCTGGCTGGTTCAGCCGTGGGCAAACTACGGCCCGCGGGCTGGATCTGGCCCGTTTGAAATGAATAAAACTAAAAAAAAAAAAAAAAATAGACCGTACCCTTTTATGTAATGATGTTTACTTTGAATTTATATTAGGTCACACAAACACTCCATCCATGCTTTTGTTCCGGCCCTCCGGTCCAGTTTAAGAACCCATTGTGGCCCTCGAGTCAAAAAGTTTGCCCACCCCTGGGCTGGTTATTGCCTGGGCCCTGTGACTAGCAGTAAACCAGCCCTCTGTGGGGCTCCCAGACAAGTGCGGGGCTT